CTATGCTGCAGAGATATGTGGAGATCTGAGTGATATATCTTCATGGCTACCATAACCCTCATTATCCGAAACCCATCTATACCCAAGACTGGTTGGATCAAGTCCTGCCAGGTAACCAGAGGTTACTTGCAGCCTCAGAAGCCAAAGTCTGTTATTTAAACAGAGACGTGTTTCCTTTTTCCACATACCTAGAAGGGGAGGTTTCCAGGTATAACTGGAAATTCTTGCCCCATAACAAGGCAGCCTGCTGGAGGACCAGCCATCAGCTGCAGGGGAAGGGCAGCCAGAGGGGCTCGGGGTTAGATTTAAGGGCAGCAATAAATGAAGGCTGGATGGATGGATGAAAAAAAGAACTGGAATAGAATATACGTAGTTTACTATTCTATTTCTATCTTGGAATAGAGGAAGGCTTTCCAAGCACAACCTCAAAACCATAGACCACAAAGAAAAATACTGGTAGGTCTGTCTACATCAAATTCTTAAAATTCTATGTTTAAAAAAGTACATAACCAAAGCTAAACTAAAGGGAGTCTGCAGCATGTGCTTGGCAGACAATAGGTCAGCATTCCTACTATAAAAAAAAAAAAAATGCCTATCAGTTACTATGACCAAGATGGACACCTCCATAGTGAAAAGGAATAAAGAATATGCGCAAATGGTTGAACATTTAAAAGAAAGAAAATACACGTAAACATGCCCTTTGTTCTTGCAACTTCTTGGAAATAGACAAATGCTCGAAAATATATATCTCTATATATGTATTTAGGAGCAGGGTCTCACTCTGTCTCCCAGACTGGAGATCAGGGGTCAATCCTGGCTCACTGCACTGTCCCACCTCAGCCTACCAAGTAGCTGGCATTACAGGTGTTAGAAATAAACTTTCAGTGCTGCAAAAGAAATAGCACTTGAACATGAATTTTCTCAGCAAGGCAATTTTACTTCTGTAGAAGGGTGCATCTTGCAGATGGAGCAATGGCAAGAGCACACAAGGGAGGGGAAGGGGTTCTTATCCCTAACGCAGGTAGCCCCTACTGCTGTGTCATTCCTCTATTGGTTAGAATTAGACTGCACAGTCTAAGCTAATTCTGATAGAATACTGCACAGCTGTTGACAGTGATTCTAAAGATATCTGTTATTGATGTAGAAAAATGACCATAATATATCTCATGATAGAAATGTTTATTAGAAACTGTGGGCAGGCATACATACATACATTCATGTATATGTATAAAACAAAAGCAGTTGGGGCTAGGTGCAACGGCTCATGCCTGTAATCCCAGAACTTTGGGAGGCAGAGGTGGGCAGATCACTTGAGGTCAGGAGTTCGAGACCAGCCTGGCCAACATGGTGAAACCCCCGTCTCTACTAAAAATACAGAATGTAGATGGGTGTGGTAGCATAATCCTAGCTGCTTGGGAGGCTGAGGCAGGAGAATCGCTTGAACCTGGGAGGTGGAGGTTGCAGTGAGCTGAGATCACTCCACAGAACTCTAGCCTGGGCGACAGAGCAAGACTCTGTCTCAAAACAAAACAAAACAAAACATAAAACAAACAAACAAACAAAAAACCCCACAAAAAAAAAACAAAAACAAAAACAAAAGCTGTTGGAAGAGTTTCTCTTGGGAAGACAGACTCTCCCAATATTGAATGTTTTATTATATGTAGTTTCTAACTTAGGTATTAAAATCAGAGCCAGTCTCTCATTTCACAAATGGGGAAACTGAGGTTGAGAGTGGGCAAGAGCCTTTCTGGGATCAGGCCCCCTGTCTCTGGGCTGCCTTTGCTGTCCTGTGGGCCCCCTTCAGCCCCTTAGGGTTTCACAGTGTGGCCTTAGGCAAGTCTCTTCCCTCTCTGGGTGGCTGCAGTGGGGAAGGGGCTCTGAGGCTGCTCAGCCTATTTTTCCAGCCTGCTGGGGAGATCCCAGCCTCTGAGACCAGCACCCTGCCTCCTCACCCTTCCCCCTGCCTGGAGAGTTGGCCCCAACAGCAAGGCTGGGCCCAATTTCATCACACCAGGCGAAGGAGTGGGCCAGGATGAGTCACGAGCGAGCCGGGCCATAGGAGGTAGGGGCTGACCACTCCCAGACGGGAGTTGTGAGGCCAGGCGGCTTTCCTGGAATAAGTAGACTGCTTGGGAAAGTGCAGAGAAATCCCAGAGTGGAATAAAAGTTGTAATGCCTCTCCCCCACTCCTCTCCCCAGACGCCCTATTCCATGTACTTCAGCCCTTTTTGCCACTCTGCCAAGGGGTCACCCAGTCCTTGTCTGCACACCCCAGCTCCCCACCATCTCACTATGATGTTCTCTCTCTTCCTCTGGAAGGGCAGGGAAACACGTGCTGACTCTGGAATTGGGCTGCTCCGGGTGGTGGCCCTAGCTATGCTGCTGAGCCTCAGTTTCTTTGTAAAATGGGGGAAATATCTAGTACCTCTAGAATTGTGTAGAGGATTAAATGAACTAATCCATGTAAGGTGCCTGTTAAAATGCTTAGTTCACAGTATATGGTTAACAGACATGAGTTTATTTTTCATCACAATCACTGCCCCCCTTTATTTAAGGCAAACCACCTTTGGAGAGAGCCTAGACATCATAAAAAATGGAACCTCAATGGCAAACACCAGTGTTCAAAGGGGCCTGGGAAGTGCAGGTGCTGGACTTGGTGGGTAATGTTGTCTCAGGGAGATGAATTCTATTAGCCAAGGCTCTTGGAGGATAGAAGTGAGCACACCAAATCTCAGGTACAAGAAACCCCAACTCAAATTGGCTGTAGCCTCAACCAACTCAAAAACAAAACCCAACTCAAATTGGCTGAAGCCCCAAAGAGCATTTATCGACTCCTGTAACTGAAAGATCCAAGGGCAAGATGGCTTCAGGCCGAGCTATAACCAGGTGCTTAAACATCATGCCATCAGAAAGCCTCTTTCTCCTTCCCCTCCTCCTCCTCTCAGCCCTTACCTCTGAGCTGGTTTCATTCTCAGCAAGTTCCCCTAAGAGGTAGTCTCCAAGCTACTGGCTTACACCCCCAGCTGAGCAATAGGGCAGAAAGGGCGCTCCCTCCCCTGGCTCCAGGGCAGGCACAATCTGTCTTACATACAGATGCCCCTCACTAGGGCCACATATCCTTCCCTGAGCCAACCACTGTGACTGGGGAGGGGATTCCCCAGTGGGCCATACCACATCAACCGAATGAACCACATCAACCCAGAATGGAGCCAAGAAGGCCCTGCAGAGGAGCTCAAGGGCTGGCAGCTGGAGCAGGGGACAGGGATGGGCAGAAACCAAAGATGTATACTGCACAAGTCTTCTTGGAAGGCTCTGAGTCATGAGCTTTGGTGGGAGACTAGAGAACACAGCTTGTCTATCTACAACTTCTTAGTAGAGCATTTGAGCTCGATATTGAAGTAGGAGGGATGGTTATTAGTTGGGTGTAGGTTAGGCTGCTAGTTACAGCAAGGATATAAAAGACTTATGTGAAGGTACAGGCCAGGTGAGGTGCTCCTCTGCTGCCCAGGGACTCCTTCCATGCAAGTGTGACTCTCACCTGGTAATACAAAGTGGCTGTTTCCAGCCAGCAGGAAGGAAAAGGAAGGATAAGACTCATCTTTTCCTTTAAGGTCATGAGCCCGAAATTGTCCGCATTACTCTGCCCCCATTCAACAGCACAACATGTTTGTAGTCCCACCTGGCTGCCAGGGAGGCTGGGAGTGAAATCTTCAGCCAGAAAGCCATCTAAAATTTCTATAGTAATGTTTCTTACATGAATGGTGGGGGCCGATGAGGGTTTCTGCCACACGGTAGGAAGGATCTGGGTAGGTGGAACAGCATTCATAGTGGGATGGAAAGGCAGAGAGCCGGGGAAGTTCTTGGTGTAAGAGAAGAAATCAGTTTTTCATTGGGTGAAGAGTAGGGCTCTGGGATGTAAGGACGGGGTGTAGGTGGGTGAAGGGCTGGGGAGGCAGTGGGGATCCAGACCAGAGAGAGCCTGAACTCGGCTCCCAGGAGTGACTGTGTGCCCACATGTCCATGCTCTGCTCATGCTACCTGCCAGCAGCTGCCCTCGGGCCTGGGCCTGGAGTGTGTAGACTGGTGTGCAGTCCACTCTTGGGAGGAAGGAAGATGGGAGGAGACTTGTGCAGGCCTTGGGGGTCAGGACCATTTAAGCAGGGACTTTCAGGCACTGGAATATGATCTGGAAAGGAGTAGGGGGGTATCAGGGACTCCTGGAGGGCACATCTCCTTGTTCTCTTAGACTTTTCACTCTGGGGAGGGAAAAAGCTGGAAGAGGAAGGCCAGAGGGAGGTCCCCCAAGTGGTATTTTTCAAATCTGGCAGCATCTTACAACCTACTGGGGATAACAAAAGAAAAAAAAAGTACTGATGCCCAACTCCACCCTCTGGAGACTGGGGTTTAATTGTTCTGGGGTAGTGTCTAGACAGTGGTATTTCCAAAAAAAAAGAGAGAAATTCCCCAGGTGATTCAAATGCACTGCCAGGTCTGAGAAGTCTTGTTCTAAAGCCTGGGAGCGGGTGTGCTGTCCTAGGTCTTTGTTGGGCAGCAGGATGGCAGGTGGCGCTGTCCCCTGGCGGAGGTGGGCCTCTGTCTAGATATCTTTCCCATTGTGTGGAATTCTCTGCCTTGAGGGTCTTGGTGGGCCTGGACACTGACTTTCCTAGTCTGTCTTACAGCTGGGGCCAGATGGGAGACCCACACTGCCCCTACTGTGTCTGCAGCTGCTGTTAAATGGGAGGCGGGAGAGATGACTAAGCAGGCTCAGGGCTGTACCCACTGCTGGGGAAGGAGAGGCACTGCGACCCTTGGAGGGAGCTGGGGAGAAGTCCTGGCAGGGAGTCCTGGGCCCACCATTCAAGGAGCGGGCAGCCGTCGCGCTATCTGCACCCAGGTGGGCAGTAAGATTTTGGGCCCTGTTGCTGGGTCTTTCTCCCCGAAGCTTGGTTTCCAGAGACCCTGTGATCACAAATTTCTTCTCATCCAAACAGCTCAAGTTAGTTTATGTTGTTTGTAATTAACAACAAACATTTAATGGAGGACTTATGATATACCAGACACTGATGTAAGCATCTTAACTTCAAAACAATCCTGTAAGGCAAGCACTACTTTATAGGCTAGGACACGGAGGCCAGAGGGGTGAAGCGACCTGCTGAAGGTCATACAGGGAGAACGTGGATTTAAATCAGAGCCATTGGGTCCCAGAGCCCAGGCTCCTAAACCTATATTATTGCATGGAGTTATTATTATTGTTACTCTCATTTTCCAGATGTCAGAACTGAGGCTCAGAGAGGCGCAGGCGGCCTTCCCAAGGCTACCCAGTGAGGATGCAGATCCAGGAAGCTCAGCAAGCCTTCTCTTCCCAATCCAGGCTGCACAGGTGGGACAAGTGAGCCTCATGCCTGCTGGCCCTGGCGCCTCAGTGCCCAGGGAGCTAGTGAGACTGTCACTGATGTAAATAACTTTGCTGCCCACTGTGATCATTCTGTCTAGACCTTATCAGCCTGAAACTTCCTCCAACCATGTCTCAGCCAGGCACTGGGCCCCAAATTCCTGGTGGGTGATGCGTGCTCTGTCTGCGATAACAGCCTTGGAAGGGCTCTGAAGGGATGGCCGCTTTGGCCGCATCTCCGGCTCAGATAACAGGACGGGAGAAGTGTCTCCATTTTATCTTGTGGAAGGCGGGCCAGGCCTTGGGTTCCGTGGGCTGCCGGGTGAGCTGCATCTGGCTCAGTGCCTCTCCTTCCAGGCCTGGGCCCTGTTGGGGAAGGGAGCCTCATTAGCAGTTGCCCAGGGTCTCTCTCATCCCAGGCCACTGCCCCTCCTTCCCCTACAGGAGGAAGGATTCAATCTGTCACTTACTCATTAGATATTTACTGAGCACTCCCTTGGGTCAAGTACAATCCAAAGTACAGATAATCCCTGACTTACGATGGTTCGATTTAGGATTTTTTGAATTTAGGATGTTGAGAAAGTGGTACACACCCAGGAGAAACCCTACTTGGAATCCCCAGGCAATCATTCTGTTTTTCACTTTCTGTACAATATTCAATGAGTTACATGAGATATTCAACACGTCATTATAAAATAGGCTTTGTGTTAGATGATTTTGCCCACCTGTAGGCCAGTAATGGAAGTGTTCTGAGCACATTTAAGGTAGGCTTGGCTGAGCTATGATGTTCTGTAGGTTAGGTGGATGAAATGCATTTTCAACTTACTATATTTTTGATTTATGATGGGTTTACGGGGACATGATCCCATTATAATTGAGGAGCATCTGCACTTTCGGTTTGGCTCATTTCGGTTCATTTGATCTTTCCAATAACATCCTAAGATAGGCTTTGATGATTTTATGTTCATTTTACTGTTGAGGAAATAAAGGCCCAGAGAGGTGAAGTAACTTGCCCAAGATTGCACAGCTGGTGTGTGGTGACTTTCTTAACGACCAGGTGATCCTACCTATAGTCATTTATAAATGAATAAGAGAAGTCAGCCAGTGACAAGCACGGCAATGAGAGTGCGGCTGAGTCCCAGGGTGGAGAGTGGTAGTTGCTACCTCTGCTGGGGTCTCAGGGAGGGCTTCTCTGGGGATGGTGGCATTTCAGCTGCAGCTTAATGCAGGGATGAGTCAGCCACTGTGGATCTGGGGAAGAGCATCCCAGGCAGAGGGAACAGCAATGGTAAAGGCCCTGAGGGAACAGCAAGCCTCAGAGCTCCAATGGGGAAATGGGCCCAGAGGGAAGGCACCTGCCTGGGGTTAGACACAAGTTGGGGCAGGCCAGGCCCAGGCTGCCAGCTCAGTCTTTGGCCTCTCCATCCACTCCTGGCTCCTCTGTGGGTGGCCCCATCTGAGCCAATGGGCCCTTCCTGGCTCCAAGTCCTCTCTGCTGTGTGGCCCTGGGCAGGCAGCTGCCCTGCCCTGTGCCTTTGTTCTTGGCTGCCTCACCCCGTCCTGGGCTGCGAGGAGACCCTGGGGTGGGGGCGGGCACACTCTGGGCCCATGGCTGCTGCTCAGATGTGAGGTGGTGACCGCCAGCCCATGTGTCTCTGGACAGGGATGGGAGGGACTCAGAGAAACACAGAGACCAAGAGATAAAGTCAGAGGGAGATGCCGAGACCAAGAGGGACAAACCAAGGGAGACAGAGAGACGACATTAGATCAGAGATGGAGACCCCGAAAAAGACCCAGAAAGGGAGCGGCGTGGGCTGGGGGAAGAGACACCCCGGGGATCACGCAGTGGTCACAGGTATCAGAGCTGGGCAGAGGGAAAGGACAAACCGAGCCTGTCCCAAAGCTGGGGGCTCAGTACCGTCTGCCCAGGGACGTGCAGCAGCCGTGTAGCTGCAGGCAGCCCCTCAGGGTAGGAAGCCAGGCGGGTGGGAGGCAGGGCCTGGTCTCTGGGCAGTTTTCTACCCAGGCCCCTCAGGCCCTCACAATGTGCCCAAGGCTGCTGGGCCCATCTTCCAGGGGTGATCACTGAGGCTCAGGCTGGCTAAGGCGGCCAGACCCCAACCCCTAGCCCTACCCTGTGGGAAGCAGTGCCAGGTCTGGTACTCAGAGGTTAGGCTGGGCGCAGGGAGGGTGAGGGCTCCGCAGCGAGCGCGCCGGGCGGCCTGTAGGAGTCGGGTCTGTGCGTCTGGGCTCTCAGCTAGCGGCGCCGGCCCGGCCCCCTCCCCGGCGAGCGGCCGAGACCCCGCCCCGGAGGTGGAGGCGGAGTCAGTGGAGGGGGCCGGGGACCGGTTGGTCCCGCCCCTCGCGCCTCCGCCCCGCCCCGCGCGCACTCAGCCGGGGGCCGCCCGGGCTCTCGACGCGCCGACGGCCGGGCGGACGGACGGACGGACGCCGAGCGCAGCGCCCCGCGGTGAGTGCACGCGGCCCCTCCCGCCCGGATTCATCCCCGTCGGTCCGCGCCTCGCAGCTCAGGACTCGGGGGTGCTCGGACGCTCCGACGGCTCAGCGGACCCTCGGACGCGCCCAGCGGGCTGCCCGCGCCTCCACCCGCTCCGCCGGTCCGACCGGGTCTCGCTTTCCCGGTCCCAGCGCGGGAACGGCCCGCGAGCGCCGCGACCCAATGTACAGATGCGGGCACAGAGGCTGGTGCGGGCTGGGGGCCGGGGGTCCGAGGGCGGGTTCCCCCCACCCCGGGTCCGCAGCTTCCTCTGCTCTGGGTCTCCCTTCTCCCCCAGGGCCAGCTCCCACCAGTCATCCCCCGGTCCCACTGCTCACCCCCACCCGGACCGCAGGACCTCGCCGCCCCTCCGGTTCAGAGAGCTGGGTCAACACCCTCAGGGAAAGAAGACTAGAGTCCCTGGTCTAACACTATCCCCTCCGTCACCTCCAAGTCACACTCACCACCACACACGCACTCACACCAGCAGAAGTTTCTGCACGCTCTGTGTTGGCGCACCCACCCTCCCTGTCACCCCGTCCTCCCTCTCCCAGCCCCATGCTCACCCCCCCCCACCCAGCTCCCCCAGGCCAGAATCTCTGACATTCATCTCACGTCCGCTCAGCACACAATGCTCCACACACGTGCCTTGCACACTGGCACCTCTCCGAGGCATGCCTCTCTTAGCAGGCAGTTGTGTCTCTGATAAACACATGTGCCCTTACTGCCCTCTGACACGCACACATGTCTGCCACACAGGGGTAGCCATCACACGCATATCTCCATCATATGTATCACACATGTGTCTCTCACATGCATGTGCTCCTCAAATACCTGGAATCACAAACACTGGGAGTGCCACACACACTGTGAGTCTCACACACGAGTCACAGACCCCCACGACTTCACAGTCCCAGCCCCCCCGGCACTCCACGGGCAGTCCTCCCCTGTCCTGGGGGGTGGGGAGCCGATTTTGAAGGAGGGAGGTGGTTGCTTCTGGTGGAGGCTGCTTATCATGGGACCTGGCTGTGGGGATCATGGGGGTGGCTCAGCCTCAGGCTGGGCCTGACTCCTCACCTCCCTGCGTCCTCTCTCCCTTCCCCTGCTCCAGTCTCCCAAATACGGGTGCTCTCCCTCCCTTTTTTGCTGCCACAAGGAGTTGCCCATATCAGCTTTGCAGTGATCACTTGGGCCAGTCCCAAGCTGGCCTGAGCCAGCAGGCATCCCCTGACAGGCCAAAAAGAGAAAAAGGGAAGTGGATGGTTTGGGTGCTTGTGTCTACCCTGATGCCCCTGAGGTGTTGGTCTGGGCCCTCCCAGAGGGAGCCCTGATGAATTGGGTGGCAGCTGAGAAGTGTTCCCTCAGCCTGGCATGGATTGGGAGCCGGTGTGTGTTTGTGGCTGATAGGGGCTCTGGGCCTTAACTTCCCTATATGCAAAATGGGGTGAAGACTCCCCAGCAGGAGGAAGAGAGTGAGGGAGCTACTCCCCTGGGGTGCACCCTTGACTTCCCGCCCTCCCCTCCTGCAGCTGAGCTGTGTGATGGGGGTGAGCAGGGGATGAAGTCAAAGAATCTTATTCCGGAGGCACAAACCTGCCAACCCCGGCTGTGGCTGGCCCTGCATGTTTTGTTTGGCTCTCACCATGTTATTATTATTTTAAAAAATTAATTAGCTGCCAGCATTTACAAATTGGCAGTTTTCACGTAAAAGTCCGGATTTCCGTCTTCTCTTGGAAAAATCACGAGGTCTGGTAGTTCAGGACCTGCATCCCCTGGCTGGTGCTGCCCACTCCCAACTCAGGGGATGGGGCAGGGGCGCTGTTAGGTCCCTGTCCCCACCTGGCCCTCTTACACCTTCTCAGTTCCTGCCTGGCCTGTGTGGCCTTTGTGTGGCTGTGACTGCTGCATGCATTGGGCTGATTTTGCTCCATTGCCTGCCTCAAGCATAGGCCCAGGCTGGTCCTCCATGCATGGCTGGGGAAGCCCTGGGCAGGCCTCCTACCCTTCAAGGCCTTAGTCATTGGAGCAATGAGTGGCGCCCAGGGCCCTGGGCCACAGGGCATCTTTGTGATGGTGGCAGACACTTCCTGCTAGGCTGTGGGGGACAGTGGTTTGGGGACCCCATGAAGCAAGAGCTCATGCCAGACAGCATTCTCTGAGGCACACTTCGTTCATCGCTTTTCTTCCCAGAGCCTGCCACCCCTCCCGCAGGGTGGAACTCTTGCCCCTATTTAAGAGATGGGGAAGGGGAGGCTGAGAAAGGGCCTCCCAGCAGGCAAAGGGGAGAGCTGGGGATCAGCCCAGGATCTTCTCCCTCCAAAGCAAAGCTCTTTGCCCCTCTCAGTGAGCCACTAGTGAGTGGGAGGACTTGGTCTCCTTGGCCCTGGCGGGAGTGCCCTGAGCCCATCCACACCTGACATGAAATAGGTGCTTCATAAATGCTTGGGGCCTGCTGATGGTAAGTGAAACTGTTCTCTGCAGCAAATTTGGGCCTAAGGTGATTCCACAGCCACTTACATCACCTTTGACACTTTTCATCTGCTGTAAAACCTGGCCCAGGATTCCTACTTGGGTCTTGATGATCACATTCACCGTGACCCTATCACCACCAGGTGGAGGCCACTGAGTCCTGGGTGAGTCCAGGGGGTCCTGGGACCATCACGGTGTGTCCTGTTGGACACCACATGCAGTGTTTGCTTTGCATTTAGGAGCTGTGGGTGTGAGCATCTTTTCTTTAAACCCCTGGTTGGCCTAGGCACATGAGATCCCACATGGGACTGAGGGACTCAGGGCCAGTGTTAGGTAGGGGCAGCTCCCCCTCCCAGCTTATGTTCCCCTGGGTGGCTGGGTGGGCGGCATGGTGTGGGGCAGTTGCTGCATTGTTCTATCCCAATTCCCGTGGCCCTCTGCTCTCTGCCTGCCATCTGTACGTGGCTGAATTCATGTAAACTCAAGGCCTCCTTATGTGTGGCCTCCTGGAAGTTTGCTGCCTGAATGAAGACCAGGCCTGTGTGCGGCACGTGGAACTTGAGGTGGGGGAAGCAGCCCTGGCTTCTTCCTTGTATCTCCTGGAGAGGCTGACCTTAGCTTTTTTATTTCCGTCCTGCTGGGGGAGAGGTGCTGGGCCTGGACGTGCCAGGTGACATGGAGGGCCTGGGGCCAAGGCTGGTCTGTGTGTGACTGCGGTGTGCTCCTGGGTCTGGTCCTCCCTCTGCTGGGCCTCAGTCTTGCATTCTGTAAAGTGGATGCTTCTGATGGTTTTCAGTGCTCAGGGTCTTGCTGTGGGGTGGTGGGGGGTGGGATTCTGGGACTGCTCTGCAGGAGGCAGTTGGGTGTGGGCCACCTCTCTGGCTTCCTGAACTCCCCCATCTGAAAGCCGTTCCCTGAGATCCAGTTCCAACCTGGGACAGGCTTCTGGGCACTGTGTTCTCCCTGGCTGTTTGTGAGGCAGGAGCTGCAGCTGGGGGCCTGGCTCTCCTGGGCTAAATGGGGAGTCACTTGCCCATTCTGGGCCAGGCACGGTCTGGATGGGCTCACAGAGGACAATGCAGACACTGTCATTGCTCCCATACAGTTTATATTCTAGTTGGAGTGGTGAAGTGGGGTGAGTTGAACGATTGGAGCTGTATTTAGACGCTGTCAAGGAGGTAAGGCCTGCTGGGAAGCGGCATCTAGGTGGGCAGGGAGGGCGCATTTGAGGAGGGGATTTCTGAGCTGAGCAAGGGGGGAAAGAGAGGGCAGCTTGTGCAAATGACCTGAGGTGGAGCCTGCTTGGCATGCTAGGGACAAAGAAAGAGAGGAGGCTAGAGTGGGTGATGGAGGGGAGAATGGGGCAGAGGAGGCAGACAGGGAGTTGGAAAGCTATTGGAAAGTTTTGAGCCGGGGTGCGATGAGGTCTGATTTTCATTCTAAGACCCCTTCCCTAGCTGTGAGGTCGAGAGGCTTTGTGCCTCCGTGGAGAGATGTTGGCAGGACTGCTAGGCTGCCTGCTCCCCTGTACCAGGCCGTGTGCTGGGGACAGGCCTCACTTTGAGAAGCTACAGGTAGGTGGGGGAGGTCAGCCTGTCCATAGGTGCTGAGGTACGGGGTGATGCATGCTGCTTCAACAGATGATGGCTCATCCTCACAGGGAGTATTATACAGCTGCAAAAAATGACTATGCTCTCGATGGAAAGGTCTTCAAGATCTGTTATGAGAAGAAAGCAAGGTGTTGACTGGTGTGTAAAGTGTGCCACCTCTTGTGTAAAATTGGGATATAAATTCACATCCACTTGTATGTGCATCAGCAAATCAGGAGCTAGTTTCGGTAGTTACCTGTGGTCACCTGGGGTTGGGGGGACAAGGGTGAAAGGGGAGGTGAGACTTCCCACCTCATGACCTGTTATATTTTCTGGTTTTTGGGCTGTGTCACTGTGTCGCCTGTTCACATTACATGAAATTAAAAAGTAGTTGGTGGTTGAATGTTCATTCGTGAGTTTTAAGTGAAAATGTTTAAGATGGTTTTAAATTCCCTGTGTTACTGACCTTGCTGAACAGACTTCTTCCTGGTGTGATATATGAAACTTTCCATTGTGATTAAAATTATATGTTACCAAAGTCACTTTTTGC